GGGGCCCCAGCCCGCCCTCCTGTCACACTGCTGCTACTGTTCCCTTCTCATCATGCTGGACTTTTTAAAAATTAAAGCATGCAGCAAACACTGTGGATTCATGCCTCTAACGACCAGTATGCCATTCCCATTCAGTCAGGTTAAGCCAAGTCTTATGATATGAAGTGGAAATGTGTGTCCAGGTTGGATATGAAGGTGAGCTTGGTTTAGCTTTAGGGAAGATAAATTCCATAGCTCCCCTCTGTAGGAGCCTTTCCATGATGTTTCTATTTCACGCTGGGCCCCATGGAGACGAACTGATGTGTGACCAGGTAAAGCCTCTTCTCCCTTTAACATTCTATCTTCTTAGTTGGCTGGGAACTTTATCAAAAAGGAAAAGCAAAACTTCAACTGGTCCTAGTAAACTTTTCCTTAAGAATTAAAATAGAAAAAAAAAATATGGAGCCTGCTAAGCATCCCTTTATATGGAATATCCTTTTAGTTTCTACAGAGTCAGCACAGCAGATAGTTGGTCATCAGGAAAGTCATGACACATTTTCGCATAGAAAGATAGAAAAAATTACATGATTTTCCTGATGACCTAATATACTGGGACTAATAGAAAAATATTGTAACCCAGCAAATGTGAGCTAAAGTTTTGGCCAAGAACTAATTCTGCACATATCTTAGTTAAAAGAAATCCTTACATAATCAAAATGGAGACAGAGGGAACTCAGAACCAAGGGCTTCCCTGGAGGAGGCAGCTAAGTATAAGAGACCTTTTGGCTTCTCATTTCACCAGGGGATGTTGTCGAGTGCCTTGTTCGCCAGTTTCTCACATCCTAAGCTGTAGTTCCCTTAGATCCTGAGCAGGGTTCAGTGAGGGCAAGAAGATGTGGTTGGCAAACTTGTCTGAACCTTCTGGCGCTCAGGTTAACAAGAGCCATCAGAACAAGGATCAGTACTCTAGGAAAGGGACCCGCTTACTCTCTCTGAGGTAGTGCAGATGTGAGAGCAGGATGTCAGCATTGTAGCTGGGGGTGAGCCTCTGGAAGTCCTCCTTGGTCATCTTGCAAAGCTCCTTCCCATCAATGTTCTGGAATAACAAGATGTCCACGTCTGGAAGGCTGTATTCCTTCACAGCCCACTCTAGCCACTGCCGGACATGGTCTGTGCTCCACAGCGTAGGATCTGGAAGAGGACAGAAATAGACTCAGTCAACAACTTTTGTCCTGAAGACAAATGCCCAGGACTGAGTCCCATCCCAGGAGAGATTTCATACCAGTCATAGCTTCCCAGAGCAGCCTCCTCCCAAGGCCCCAAAAGTGCCTGTCTCTACAACTGCACTCAAGAGAATGTCTTTGAGAAAAGAAAAAAACTGACTCACATCCATAGATCATTGCCCTCCAGGTGGATTATTCTGGCAGTTTAGAATTATTTACACTACTCACTGCCCCCCCTTGTCTGCTCAGACAATCTAAAATGTCCTATAAAGGATGAGGTATCCTAAATTATTTTTTAAATTTATTTTCATTTGTATTTATTCATTTAAAAATGAGGAAGAATAAAGGAAACTCTCCTTAAAAAACCTACTGGTGTGTTTATGTGAAAATAAGAGTTAGAAACACATATCAAGAAGGTGCTAATTACAGATTGCAAAAATAGTAACAGCGTTTGTACCAGATACAGACAGTGCCAGACTTAAGATCATTCCACTTAGGATTTTAGATGTTATGATAGTGTAAAAACGAACACATTTAGTATAAACCATACTTTAAATTTTGATCTTTTCTCAGGCTAGGAATTTGCAGTTTGATACCATTCTTTTTTTCACTTTCAATACATTATTCAATAAATGACATAAGATATTCAACATTTTATCATAGGCGTTGCATGAGAGGATTTGCCCAGCTATAGGCCAACGTAAGTGTTCTGAGCACATTTAAGGTAGGCTAGGCTAAGCTATGATGCTCAGTAGGTTAGCATATTAAATGCATTTTCAACTTAGGATATTACAGCTTATGATGCGTTTATCAGGGACACAACCCCGTTGTAAGTCACTGAGAAACAGTGATCAAAGAATTGAAAGTAAAATGAGGTAGACCAAAACCCTAGCATCTCCTATGAGCTGCATTGTTTTAAAAGAGATTTTTGCTATAGGGTATATGCACTCACCAAAGAGACAAAGAGAAATAGAAAGACAGAAAGTGAAAAATCACCCCCAGGGGGTACGGCAACACTACAATCCATTCTCCTCTTAGAATTTTGGGCACACATGCACATGCATCCGGTGTGAGTTTGAAGCCACTAGGTCCGGAACTCTATCTGCGGTTGATCATGTGGGAGTCCAGCGACATAACCATTATGCCATCTGCTGGCCCCATGAGTTGCATTTTAAAAGAGCTGTTAGTTCCAGACCGTCTCTGAAGACAATTTGGTTTTGCTAACTAACTGGCATCTGCCGGAGCAGGCGGGTGAGTGGCTTTTGCCTTCCACAGCTGTGGAGCACAGATACTCCACAGAATGAAGGCAACATCACCATACTCCACTGCCATCTACCATAGGAGACTCTAGCATAGGAGGAGGGCAAGGCCCTGGAGAGAAGGAGCAGGTGATCCCCAGTGGAAATGCAGTCCAAGACCTCCCTCAGGGCATTCCATCTGTGAAAGGTCTTTGGAGTGTCTGAAGGAGTCAATAAGGCAGGTCCTGAGAGCTGGGAGATTCCTGAACAGGAAGCAGAAATCTCACCATCTCTCAACACGCAGGATCCCACTGGGGAGGACCTCCCCCATCTGTGTCTGTTTTGTACGTAAAATGAGAGCTTTGATCTTAGTTCCTGAAACATTAGTGAGACCAAACAAGTTCTACATTATTAACAAAAAAATGACTTAAAAAGATGTTTTAATCTCATATCAGGGGATGGGGAACTTTTCTTCAGTCAAGAATCAGAACTATGGACTGCCTGGCTTCCCAGGTTTAGAGTAAATACTGAGATGTGAACCAGCTGGGTCACAGAGTGTGCGTTTCCTCGACTTGACCAGTTACCGTTGGATTTCAATCAATGTTATAACGCCTTCCCAACCAATCATTAGTGCATGCAAATTAAAACCATCTCTGAAAACTCAAATGGCAATGTTGACATGAAGGTGTGCCTATTCCTTCATGATCCTAACACATGGAAACATGTAGCTGACCTGTGAAAATCGAATGTGCCCATGGAAGGTTAACCTCGTCTTGCTCACTGAAGTCCAGATGGCTCTCTGCCATTGGGTCAGGATTTTGCTTTCAGGGACAACATGTTCAAAACATCAGACTGTCTTCATTAAAGGTTTTTCTCTTTTTCACCCTTGTCAGGATTCCTCATTACACAAAATAATTCATAGCAACATGTTAGGATACCCTTAGTTTATCTCTTTATCTTTTCTGTGCAGAAGTCAGTTCAACAGTCCTCACAAAGGACTTCTACAATCCTACCAAACCATTCTCTGTAAGTCCCAACAAAGGGTCTGCCAAGCCTTTCTTATTGTTTTGCTTTGCTCTTGGCAACATGAGAGGACTAACTATTGGTGTAGCTGCCTCCTAGAAATTGTTTTTTTCTGGGGATGAATTTTCCTCTCTTATGGTAGAACCAGTTATTCTCAAAATGATACATAAATGTATTGCCTGAAGTTACTGGGTTCATACTAAAATAATGAAACAACTATTGGGTCATGGAAAAATCATGACACATTTTTGTACAGAAACATACTTCATGGGAACCAGCAGTTAGAATAATGGCTATGTCGCTGGATTCCCACGTAGTCGACCGCAGTTCACATCCCGGACCCGGTGGCTTAGAACTCACGCTGGGCACGTGTGCATGCGTGCCCAAGATCCTGAGAGGAGAATGAAGGAGAAGGGATTGTGGTATGACCATCCCCCCTGGGGGGTGATTTCTCGCTTTCTGTCTTCTCTATGTCTCTCTCTGTCTGTCTGGCGAGCACACGCGCCCTATAGCGAAAAACCTCTCCAAAAAAAAAATACTGCATGACTTTTCTGATGACCCAACTAAAAAAAAAAGTTTGGTCACTCTCTTTCTGTGTTCCTTTGCTTATTTCCCTCCCTACGTTAAAGATTCCTATTGTTCATTCCATTTTCCTTTAAGTGAATCATGTGCAAGACCTAAGTAACTAATTGCTCAACCTGCATTGTCTTTATCTCTAAAATTCTCACTTCGAGTTAGTGAAAAGCCATACTTGAGAACTGATGAAATTAACTTAAATCACTATGAACTTTCTGGTGAACAATTCAATAATACACTTTAAATATCTTTTAAAATGTGTATAGTCACTGTTAAAAATTCCACTTCTAGAAATTGATCCTAAGGAAATAATAGAGGATGTGCGTAATGATTTATTTTCAAGGATGTTCTTTGTAGTGTTGTTTATAATAGCAAAACACTGGAAACACCCTAAATGTCCAGCAAAAGAGAAACAGTTAAGTTGTGATAGACTTTGGGATTTTCCTCTGATATTTAGAAACTAAGAATTACATTGCTGTAATGAATTTATTAATATAAAAAAAGTTCAAGGTAGATTAAACTTAAAAGTTTTCAAATATTATTGCATTGCAATTAGGTTTTGTAAATATCTGCATGGAAAGTTTGACAAGATATTTCAGGAAATGGCAACCACTGTCTCTAGGGGAAAGGTGATGGGGAATTTTAGATTTTTCATTTTCACTACAATGTATTTTTCTTTTTCTACAATAAACATGTAATACGTGGGTTATTCTCTATTTTTCAGAATCAAAATAAGGTCTTACAAGGGACTAAGTAACAGAGGTCTTCAAAAAGTTTGTAGAAAATGATCATGAAAAGCTATGCATTAATTTCAAAAAAAGTACCAGGATAAATTTGTACTTTAATCTTATTTTCTATAAACTTTTAAAAGACTCTTCAAACATGTAGTATATACATACACATACATACATACATATATGTCATATTAAAATATTTTTATAAAATTTCTCCTGAGGTATAAAGACTAAGGTCTCACTTTTTTTTTTCTTTTTTCCATTAACAAAAATTAAAAAAAAATAAAATTACATAAAGTTGGGTCACTCCTATATTTTGGGTTTGATCTCCACACTTTCGCCCTGTAAGTTTATTAGCAAACAACGTTAAAAATAAAAAATGCCCACTTTGTAGAGGAAATGAGGGCATTTGTCTCCAACCTGTCTGTAGGACACGGCTGCTCTGAATACATGAGAGGTTGCGATAGAGGATGTTTGCAAGGAACAAGTCAGAAGTTCTCAGCATGAAGCATATGGCCCTTACTGTCTTCATAGTGTCATTCTCAACACCCTCTCCCCACCATACAGCCACACCCAGCCACCTGCCATCTTCTGAAACAAAGCCCCCCATTCTTGTCCCCACACCCCACCCACTGCTTGGAGGAGTAGCCCTTCTCATAACCCTCACCTCCACTCATCACCTCTTTGGAGCATTTGCATCAATGCTCTCACAGTGTAAAGACTTAGAAAGAATATCTGGGAGAGAAGTGATATTCCAGTGACAGCCCACTCTGAACTCCACCCCAGCTACCTGGGCCAGGTGTGGACACTGTAGCTGTAGACGGTGGTTTTATGTTTCAGGCCAGAGCATTGGGTCCCAGCTGTCATCCTTTGGTCCCAGTTCACCTTTCGACTCCATCAAGAGCCTTAGTAGTGTCTCTGTCCCTTCCATTACCTGTAATACATCATCAAAGCTTTCTTGCTCTGCCCCCGCCCCCACCACGCCCTCACAGAGAGGGAATCAGAAAGTCTCACTTTCTGAGTGACCTACTTTCTTCCCTGACCCCTAGCTATGCACATAAAGGAGAAAAGAGCAACCAGAATGAGAACAGCATGGACATGACTTTTGCCTTTGTTCAGGTTTGGTGAACACCTGGGTAGTGGTATGGCTCAGAACCTGTCACCTAACCTCATGACCAGGTCTCATTTTCTTCTATAAAACAATGTGTAGAATTCCAGCACCTGAAGAATGACTGAAACAGGATAACATCTAAAATACATTTAACTCAAGTAAGAGTTATTGAACATTTATTAAACATACCAGTATTCCAGAGATTCAGAGTGGTCAAGACAAATAGACATGCTCAGAATTCACTGAAGGAAGCAGCTATGAACACAGCTGACAAAGAAGAATTAAA